CCGGCAGCACACTGCGGCGCAGTCATAGGCAGCGGCACACACAGTAGGCCGCACAACAGCACGCACCACCCGACAGTACCGCACAGCAGCACGCACTGCCCGGCAGCGCGCAGTGCGCACCGCACGGCAACAACACGCGCCGCACGGCAGCAGCACACACCGCACGGCAGTAGCACTGTGAGATGCACGCCGCTGGCAGTAGCAGTAGGTCAGGACCCACACGACAGCTCATCAGGGTGGGTTCGCACTTATCTTACCACATCAACTCTACTTGCCAACTCGCCGCCAACTACTCCATTCCTCATCCCTTATCCTTATCTTATCTTATCTTAAGTAAGAGTTGTATTACCATTAGGAGTTTGAGTTAAGTTGGATTACCTAGCCTAGCCGAATCCAACAAGGAGTTTCCTTTTGTAATCTCCTATTTAAGGAGCTACGAATTGAAGTAAAGGCATTCAGTTTTCAACCAAGAAAGGTGTTAGGAGAGTTCGAGTGATCTCTTGGACAAATCACTCACGCGATTGCCACAATAGGGTCTGTACGCAAGGGCAAGGGCAAGGGAAGACAGGAGTTTCTCCCGGTGGACCGACCCGTGATGAGATCCTACGCGCGGGCCCATAACATTCTGGTATCAGAGCCTAGCGTCATGGGCGACATGGAGCAGCTATCATCTAGGGTTCACGAACTGGAACACCGACTCGTTGAAAATCACACGGAAGTAAGAGAAGTCAAAGAGGATGTCAGGGAGCTTCGGCGCCTACTGGAGTTATACTTCTCCACTAGAGAAAGGAGTCCTGAAGAGGCGGCCACCAACAACAACCGCCATCCAGATCGGGTCGAGGACTCCGGTGAATGACAGAACGCCACCCCAACAACAACGGTCATACCCAAATACAGTCGTCTGGAGTTTCCCTCATACAGCGGCAGCGGTGACCCACTGGGATGGTTGTACCGCTGTGAGCAAATCTTCCGTAATCAGCGCACGGAGGAGAAGGACAATGTCAGCCTGGCCGCGTTCCACCTAACCGAAGAAGCGCAACTCTGGTTCTACCGAGTGGAGCAGGAGGAACCATGTCTTAGTTGGGATCAATTCAAGTCGTATTGCCTCCTTCGGTTCAGACCCCCATTAACAAGCAACCCCTCGGGGGAACTCATTAACCTCAAGCAGGCCGGGACCGTAGCAGAGTATCAGCGGCAGTTCCAAACCCTTCTTACCAGGGCCTCTTCAGTACGCCCAGACCAGTAGGTGGATATGTTCACAGCTGGTCTAGCCGAACCCCTGAGAGTTGATGTAGAGATGCACAGCCTGCCTAACCTGGTCACGACAATGAATTTAGCCCGAGCTTTCGAGCGCAAACTGCAGATTAGCCGAGGGCCGTCCAGCATGGGATGCCCAGCAGCGGCTTGGACAAACCCAAAGCCTACTGGAGGAGGGTCTTTGCTGGTAGCCAACAGGGAACCACTCGGAATGGCTCCATATCTGGCAGCCAGCCCAGAACGGAAGCCACAGACGAGCACCAATTCCAGATTAGCATCCAGTGTGGGGAGCAGTGGCGGTACACCCCCTATTAAGCACTTGTCCAGGGCTGAGATGGCAGAACGCAAGGCGAGTTGGCGAGCAGAGTTGATGTGGTAAGATAAGTGCGGACCCACCCTGATGAGCTATCGTGTGGGTCCCGCCCTACTACTGCTGCCGGCGGCGCACACGTCTCACAGTACTGCTGCCGTGCGGTGCACGCTGCACGCTGCTGGGCGATGCGTGCTGCTGTGCGGCCTGCTATACGTGCCGCTGCCTATGACTGCGCCGCAATATGCTGCCAGGCGCTGTATCCATAACATGTTCATCCGTCGCTACATCTCTTAAAATATACCATCGAAAGCATAAATCCATCGCTAAAAGCCTATATATATTGACAGGTGTATTTACCAAATGGTTAAAATCCGTTGGTATTAGTAGTTTGTAGTGACGAATATTTTCATCCACCAATATATATCTATAAAATACCGATGGATTCATGTGTCCGTCATTATAGTTCCATGCTATACTAATGGAATTTATAATCCATCGCTATATAACTAATCTATTCCATTGGATTTTTGACATCTGTCGGTATAGGTTTTCAGCTATGTATGTGAATGCTATATGTTATGAGAAACTTTAAATAAAAAAATAATAAAATAGGAGGGAAAACTTTTCCTCCCACGCGCAAACTCAATTTTGTATTGCTTAGACTCCTGGGGTCCTTTCACACAAAAAGAAAAAGACACGCAGAGTCATTCCAATCCACAACTCAAAACACATCTTCATTCGATACCTTTTCTTTGAACTTAATCCTCAATGTTATAGTGTTATTTTTCTCCACTGGGGTGATTGATTGTCTGCTCAATCTCAGTTATCTATTCACCTTTCTTGATTTTGGTCATCACTTCAGTGCTAGTGCCAGAGCAATTAGGTAAGCTTTTTGACATTTCCTTATTCTCATTTCTTTTGTTCTTTGATTGGGTTTGAATGTATACGATTGGTGAAGCCTTCTTCTTTTTTTCATATTTTGTTTCTTGTGAACCATACGATAGTCCTTTACCTAAAGCAAAATAGGCACTTTGCCTTCTATGTCTTATTTATTTATATAACTTTTTTTTTTTCAGAATTTTAAAGTTTATATTTCCTTAAAGTTGAAGCGTTGATATTATCTGAATTGTTTAATCGAGTAATCCATTCAGTTCAATAAATTGAGCTAACACCAAACAAACCCTAAGTTTGATTTTGAGTTGAGGTAAGAACTTCAACACTTTTTCCTCTACTTGAAGTGACATTAGGTATGTATATATCTTCTTCATTTACTTGAAATATGCTTTTCTTCTTATACAATCAAATACCTTAGGTTTTCATTTTGCCGTGAAAGAGTGGAGAAAAGGAGCTCTACTATCAACTCATTTGTCTCCATTTTTTCATAGGATGTCTGCTCCACTATTGCTTTTACAATTCAGGTATATCTCCCTCTGCTACCTTCCCCTTATTACAATGAACTGGCATTTGTGGTCTTGATCAAAACACTCCGACTTCTTCAAGAACTTAAAAACAATTGATTGCTAAGGAAGGGAAATTTATTTACTTTATGCCTTTTCTCTTTCTTTTTCAAATAATATGTTTGAAATTTAGAGAAGGAAGCATGGTAGTGCATTAGATTCTAATTCATCTTGGGTTGATTTTATTTTTTCTGAAATTGGGGCCAATTTTTTATTGTGTCTTTGTTTGGTGGTCGGGCAAGCACCCTATAGTGAATTTATGTATTTGTAAATTTGGCTATAGATTTTGTGCTTGATTTTTTTAATATGGATTGTACTTATGGGATAGCCATAGTATTCAAACCCATTTCTCCATTCATCATCTAGGAATGATCTCTTTTAAGATGTGTCAACTTAGAATCTTTCCAAAACAAGGTGGATTTGTTTCTGGTTTCATACTTCTTGCCCTACAGTGATATCTATGAGACTCAATGTTTAAATGAATATGTTGTTCCAATGCTTTCTACCCATGTCATTTATTATTAGAATTTGTGCTCCCAAGTCAAAGTTTCTTTTTTAAGAATAGAAGAGGGAAAAAAAGGAACAACAATCTCCCACTACCGAACATCAACACAAAAAAGCCTCTAAAAGGCTATCAACACAAAGTAATTAGCAATCAAGCATCTACATAAAGAAGGAACTATCTTGTTTAGAGCCCCAATACGGTTTCATCTCAACCATACCTCTAGCAACACTTTCCACCATTTGAATTAGCTGACATTAAAATTCATCTCAATGGTTTTTCACTCTAGATCTAAGGATCTAGCCTCCATGATGTCAAGATGAACCTAGAGTCAAAAGTAGTTGCACTCATGCTAGAACTTGAATCAATGAAGAGAAAAAGGTGCCAAATTATTTTCCCATTTTCAACATTAGTAACATTTAAATACAAAGAGTAATAGAACAAAAACTATTGCTAGGCCTATCAAAATTAGAAACCGCTGGCCTATAACTAAAAAAATTGCCCTAAAAATTGTTTCATACCTCCACCAAGGGGAAGAAAAGTGGAAGAGAAGTTATAGAGGGATTGGGAAGGATGCATGGATGCCTTTTTGGTCCTTAAATTAGGATCCATTACTTAAGCTGCAAGATCATATAAGAGCTACCAAGTTGTAGGTCAAACAGCAATTGTAATTTGTGATTCCAATGGTGATTGATGGTTAATTTAGTGTTTTAAAAAGTAGGCCTCATACACTTATGCTCACAAGTGTTGCTCATTTTGTGGGCTGCACTACACTTGTTTTGCTGCTATGTTTCTTGAATTAACAAATTTGATGTTGAATACATAGTTTACTATTTATAGGTTGAATGGTGCTAAGAATTTAAATAATTTAGCCCAATGCAAGATTCAAAATGTACCAGGTTACAACATTCATGTTAATACTCTAATTAAATTTCTTTTTCTTTTTTCAAAGGTGGCATCTTACTTCAAGCATAAGCCTCTCCTTGCAACTTGCACCTCAATCAGAGAGTTTTTCCATGGTCTGATGAAGCCTACTTCTMTGGAGCACATATAACATATGGTAACTTTATTTTCATGACAAGACCACCTAACTTTAACAAAATATGCTATTTCCTTATTGTGACAAGAAATCATCAAGGGCCTTCCCAAGGAGCTGAAGATTGTTGATCTTTCTGCAGTACGCTTTGGTTGCACTTCTTAGTACAAGTAGTTTGTCTAATTTCATGGTCTTGTTACTTGCATTTCAAAGAAGTCCTCATTGGTTTCAATGTAATTAGTATAGAAAATAAAATGAAATCATTTTGCAGGATTTCCGGATAAGAAATATTGATGAGTACGAGGAATGGTATGGTCAGCCTCATAGGACTCTAGAGTTGTAGGTGCTCATTGTTTCCTAAGAATTATCTCATGTTCTTTATCACAATTACAAGCAATCATTCCAAAATCAACTCAAAATTTTCAAGATTTCTGTTAGAAAATGATAATTGATTCATTTCTTTCAAAGTTTCAATACATATTTTCAAAAAAAAATATTACATATTTTAATTGTTTAGGAATTATTCTCTTAATTTAAGTACATGCTATTGAACTACTTTTACACTATAGTGATCCAAGATAGTTCAGTGTAGCTGGAAAAGTTGTTCATAGAAGGAATTTTGAGAATGAGATCAACTAGAATTTTTTGGTTCCCGCTGTGATTATTTTCCTAATTTTGGTTTACTAACTCTTCATTTTCCCTATAGGTATTTGCATCTTATAGGCAACCTTTTTTTTTTGATAATTTGCAACTATCTATTAATTTAGATAGGTTAAAAGTGAGTTAATTGATAATAAAAGATTGTAAGGGCTTTGCAGAAAAAAAAAATATTTTCCTCAAGCTATGTAATCCATATATCTTATTCTCATGATCTACACATTAGATCTACCTTGGACAGAGTCGATTGATGTGCATATTTGATCTCTTCATGCTTGACATGTATTTATTTAAGATATGTTTAACTACTTTATTGTTTTCTTTTTTTCTATTCCCTTTTTTTGTGAAGATGTATGAATTTAACTAATCTATTTTGCTTATCTGGATGCAAAAAGAAGCTATTTATGGTTTGACATAAACTTTAAAAGAAGAAATTCGGAATGCATAGCTAGTTGCTACTCCTGGTTTGCTATCCTACATCCATTCAGCTTCCTCTTGTTCCTTTGATAAAGGTCTTGTATCTGCACTGTTATACTTGAAATTCATTATTTTCTATGTATTTCTAATTGGTTATATAGGTCTATTATTGAGCCTTTGTTTTCCATAACATATTTTCCAATATTTGGATAAGAGTGTCTAAATAGGACGGAAATCATTATATTATACTTATAGTAGATACAAGATAATTTAGGTGATGAATCCAACTAAAAATAGATGGGAAAAGGATCGACCTTTACTACTATGAATCACAATATGGAATTAAAAGCTCCTTTTCATTTGCTAACCAACCAAAAATTGATCTACCCCCCCCCCCCCCCAAATTAAAAAAAAGTCATCTTATTATGATTAGATTTTATTTTGTTAATAACATTTCTGATTCCTTTGTCAACTATTTGCTTGTAGTCATTCAAAATCTTTAAGGGCTTTCGGGAACATATCACCTACTTATTTTAGCTAATTTGTTCAGACATTGCTTGTAGTTGTCCACCAACAGAAGAGAGCTCAAGTACGTCTTTCATGCTTATCAACAACTCTGAACATAAATATCTATGTTGGTACATTTGTTTTTTTTTTATCCAATTGTTTCAAATAGAGATATAAGTACTAGGGATTATTTGTAGTGAAAAAATAGAGAATAAATAAAGGATGAAAAGATTGATTACTAGTGCCATTGCTTTTTAAGTTTTAGAATTGACCTTCTAAAGAAGTTGGCTTAGAGACAACTTTTATAAAAACATTTTATTATTTGATTATTTTATCCATTTAAAGAAAAAAATTAAGTAATTCAGTTCAGCAATTTCAACCATAGTTTTTAAAACCGAACCGGTTAGGGGTCCGATTACTGGGTTGAACAGTCAGTACGTTCAGACAAAAAATTATAAAAATTATAAAAATTAAAAAATGATCAAAACCGTTCAAACGGTTAACCGCCCGAGTCAACAGTTTTTTGAGAAAATCCGGTTTTGGGAAAACCGAAATTCACCTGGCCGTTTCCCAATTTTTTTGGTCCGATCGTCCGGTCTGGTCCGGTTTTGAAAACCATGATTTCAACTATTATGAAGCAGTTCCTTAGTCAAAGTTTTCTTAGCTAAATGAGCACAAATTAAGCCTAAAAGGTTCAACATAGTTTATGCTAAAGTTGGTTTAGGTATTACATATCAAGCTCTTTTCATTTTGCAAATGTGTTGCTATATGCTATAAGCTGAAGTAATAATGCAAAGTGGTTGCAAGGTTTAGTGGTAGCGTGCATAAGAGGGAGTTGGATGCGGACACCAAACATTACACTCTTATGGATTAATTGAGTGGTAAACAGGTTTAATGTTGTGAGGAGGGATGGAAACCAAATAGCTCATTTGGTGTCGAGCAAGGATTTCCAAATCTTTGAAGAATGAGTCATTGATCCTCCAGCTTGGCTGTTTAATATGCTCACTTGATGTTTCTTTTGGTAAATTGTATCTCTATGTTATGTTTTTTTTTAATGAAATTTCTATTAATAAAGACAATTTGTATTTTTTTGAGAGGTGATTTCAATATCTGAATGACTAATTTTATATAATCAATGGGCTTAAAATAATATAATTTAAAAGCAAATATTTGTTTTAGTTAATGTTCATCTACGTAGTGGTCATGGACTGCCATTAAAAATTTCTTTGACTAGTGGCTAAATGAAAGCTTTGTTGGTAATTTAAGAAATATCAAAACTTTTTACCGATGGATTGTTTTGTCAGTAAAAAATTATGAACCCGATTTCCATTGCTATAGGTTGCATCGATCTGTCACTAAAGATCTTTGAATAAGTTTTTTCTACTTCTTTACCTACGGTCATTTCTCGTTGTTATTAACGTTGAAACCGTAGGTATTACATATGAGTTTATACCGACGGAGACCAAATCCATCAGTAAACCCATTTAGAGATATGCCGATGGATTTCTTGTGTTTTACCAACGGGTTCGATCTATTGGTAAATGTCTGTTCTTTTGTAGTGCTATACAACGCAATATACTTGATGTGCCCACATTCACTTTGCAATATATGTTTTTATCACAATTTCTTTGTATTTTTCCTTTTCAAGTCCATTTTCATCGTAAAACAAATCAAAATGTTCTCAAACAATTGAAGTATTTCTTCCTTTATGCTTTAAAGTAGACCTTGATGATGTTTTAGCATCGATCATTATGGCTTTTCATTGACATTAAAGACATCTATAACAAAAAAAGCCCCATAATAAGATCAATTGAAGCATCCTTAAATCTCTTATACAATGTCCCAAGTTTTATTAACCATTATGCAAACAAAGAATGCATTACATCAACTGAGATGTAAAACAACTAAAGAGATCTTTTATAAATTTATCAAGTTATTCTAATGAAAAAATGTATACATGATATAGAAAACAGAACATCAAATATGCTAAAATCTTTAATACCTCTTTTTCTTCTAAATTGTACCAAAGTTATTGATTGTTAGCCAAAAAGAAACTCTAGTACCTTTAAGTGGATGAATGGAGAACCAATAGGAAGCTTTGAATCAAAGTGCAAGGTTGAAAGTAGAAGTTACAGTATTCCATCAAACAATGATTATAAAAGAAATAAGTAGACAAAGCATTCAACTGTTGCCCATTATAGCCCAACTAGCAAACCCAATTCAAAATCAGGATTTAAAATCTTTGATGAGAACATAAAATTAAAATATGTAATGAAACCTTTAGAGAAATATTAAATGTCGCTTGGATAGCCACCGTTACCTATGATTTCTTAAAGAAAAAGAGAGAAAAAAGGTAAGAGAAAGTTGATGAAATGAACAAATGGTGACCGATTACCAAATACACACACACATAAATTATGTCTGTCACCCCATTACAACTTACAAGCATGCGTTCATATATTTCTAGAATATTTATAGTTTGGGTAAATTTCTTAAACTATCCCTACTGTTCACGAAATTGACAAACTGTACTCTTATTGTTTAGATATTGTCTTGTGGTACCCTTAAGTTTTCTAACAATTGATATTGTTGTTAAATGCTAATGCAAGAAAATGAAATGTTGAATTTATCCTTCATTATTCCTCAAATTTCATCCCCTATTTCACCATCCGCCTCTACTCTTTCTCCATTCTCAAACCTCCCCCTTCGCCTTTGGTCTCTCTCCTTTCTCTGTTCTCAGACCTCCCCTCCGCCTCTAAAATAATTGTGGGGATCCTTGTGGATCGAGCAGCAATGAATAATCCCCAGATGTTGGATCGTCTGGGAACTTTAAAGATCAACCTCACGTTGCTTTCCAGCACTGATTTGGTGGGATTGTTGGTGATGATGAAATAGGGGCGACAACCACCGGTGAAGGGCTCCCTCCCTCTCTTTCTCCCCTTCATTCTCTCTCTCTCTCTCTCTCTCTCTCTCTCTTTCCTCCATTCCCTCTCGCCCTTATTTCAAAAGCTGGTGGTGATGATTTTTGGATAGACCATGGACATTTTGCTGAAAGCTAACCAAGCTCCTAGCCACTATTACATGGCCTCTAGAGCTTACTCGAGTGGTCTCGGTGTGGTCTACGATAACACCACAGCTATGGCCAATTTACAGTACAAAGACAATTACACCCCTTCGTTGTCTCTTTCCATGCCATCCCTCCCTCCTTACAATGACATAGAGGTAACAACTAGCTTCACCACCCACTTCAGGAGACTGGCAAGCAAAGAACATTCCATCGATGTTCCGTTAATTGTCGACACTCACATTTATACGACCATCTTTGTCAACACTTTGCCCTATGCTAGCGAATCTTGCAGTGGTCCCATCGGAAGCCGACTCTCTGCCAGCATGAACAACATTAGCTTTGTGATTCCATTGATGAACATTCTTGAAGCGTACTATAGGATGATTTGTGGGATTTACACAACTGATTTCCCCAACGACCCACCTTACTATTTCAACTTCACCACCGATGACTTGTCAATTGATAAACTGTAATTACCTATAGCCCACGCCATGTCTTCTAATTCTACGATACCTACTAATTCTAATAGAGAGTCCAAAAGACTGAAAGACTTCTGCTACTGCAAGGGAAACTGAGAGATAGGATGGATGGAGAGTGGCAAACTAGGAGATTTTACTCTGATTCATTCACAGGTACTGCCACTGTTTCTAATGTCGGTGGTAATCGAAAAGTTGATGTATCATGGTGGTCGGAAGGGTTGAGCCCAGAGTTGCTGGCCTTGATATTTGTTCGGATCCCGACAGGTCAATTGGTTTAAGCGATTCCTCCTATTTGCAAATCCTGGCGAGAAGTCATTGCCGGACCCTACTACTAGACTAACATTGACGTCGAGCAATGGTGCCGCCGATGTAACCGCTCTGGTCTCATCGACTTCGTTATTCGTAGGTTTGTCCATCGCAGCAAGGTGACCCTTCATCAACTCTCCGCTTACAAGCTTGGCGAATCTGGATTCTCCTTTGTAGACAATTGGTATTTAACTCCTTTTTTCCCCTCTGTTTCATCTCTTACTCAAAGGGGTTTCTGATGCTATCGCCTAGAGGAAGAATAGAGAGAGAGAGAGAGAAAGAGAGAGAGAGAGAGAGAGAGAGAGATGTGAGTTTGGAGGGGGTTGTCGCTGTCATTGCCGTTGCACAAAGGAATGAGGGTGGAAGCACAGTTCAATGTTGGTGGTAGTGCTCTATTTCCAAGATAATTACAAAGACCGACTAGGGGAAGAAGAATAAGAAGATAGAGGGATAGGTGGGGAGAGAAAGAGAGAAAGAGAGAGAGAGATGATCGGAGGTGAAGGATGGTTGAAGCAAGTTGTAACGATGAGGGGGAGGACAAGGGTCCTTGAATCCATCCATATAAACAAAAATCAAAGGAGAAAAAAAAGACAGGCACGGAAGTTCGAAGATTCCAGTTTTTCCAAGGCATTGGAAACCAAGAGTTGTGTGATCATCAAACTTTTTCTGTTCAAAAGTTGTAGTAGCCACCACCGCTTGCGACAACAATAGAAAAATCACCACCACCGCTACAACTTCCGATAGCAATGGTGAACAATAAGGGTATTTTAGGAATTTTAAAATAATTACCACTCACATGATGTCACATGTGAATGGAGTGTGATGGAAAATTAACGGCAAGGGAGGTTTTAGATAGTTGTCAGAAAACTTATGGGTACCGCAAGACAATATCTAAACAGTAAGGGTACAGTTTGTCAATTTCATGAACAGTAGAGGTAGTTTAAGAGATTTACTCTTAAATTTTTGTAAATTAGGGATATTGTATTCAAGAATGCTAATAAACAATTTTATGCAACTTTTGGTTTTTCTTGCTCTTTAAACAAGGTAGGTTCTACCCGTGACAAGGTAGGACCTAAACACTATGACATCTGAACCCAAACACTATGAAATCATTGATGTTGTTGGAAAACTTAAAATGGTAAATTCTCATAATCATTTTTCTTTTAAAGGATTTCAAAGGCATTAGTTTTGTTAGGGTTGTAAGTCAGGTTGCTCGTGTTAAAGAACTTCAACTACAACAAGCTTGGGCTAGGGTTTGGACCTATTCGGAATATTTAAAATTTGACAATATATAGGATATAATGATGCACCATAGCTTGAATATATTGCTTAAATCATGATTACAAATAAATGGATGCAAATCTGAACTGAATATAAAAAAATTTATATTTGATTCATATTTGTACTACAAACAAACAAAGCCTAAATGAACTGAATCCCAATAGGAACATCGTTTCATGGTCATCATTATTGAACTCACTATTAGTTATAATTATTATAGTCTAACCCTAATTATTGTTCTAACATTACTTTATTTCAAATGTGTTACAACATCTCTAATAAGTCATTTGATAGAAAATTCATCACATTATATGTATTACATACTTTATGGAATATGAAGACATCAATTGTAGAATTTAGGTATTTTTAGTATTAAACTTTCATATATAAATTGGGATGGAGGTAGTCTTCTTTTTTTGATGAGGGCCAATAACTAGAGAGATAAGTGCTCTAACCAAAGACACTTTGAAACTCAGAAGCACTGATGGAAGTAAAAGATGGGTAAATTAAAAGTAGATAGAAATCATTTTCCTTTCTTTTTATAATGAGTAGATACCGGCAAAGACTCATGATTAAGATTATTGAGTTGGCATGTTGGAACCTATTGCATGTAGCATGTTTTTGTGTAAAAATTGATATTTGGTGGGCTCAATAACTAGAGTTAAATGGTTGATCTGATAAGAGATAGAAAGTTAAGGGAAACAACTTTCATAAAATTCCTTAATGTAGTATGAATCTAAACAAAGATAGAAATTTTGTACTTCTTTCAATTTTGTATAAATTTTATTTGAAATTATGATTTATACTCTTACTTGATACAAAATTTGTACTTTTTGTCTCATTTACACTCATTGGCAATGCAAATTTTGCATTACCACCTTTCTTATAAAAAAGCTTGAGCGTATAGATTTTGAAAAACCTTGTAGAAATTGTGTCTCTCATTATGCAAGATACATCCAAT